CTCGTCTGGCCAGCTGTTCATAAATCTTCGGTCCTAGACAAAAGCAGGAAAAAAATGAAGGGCATCAATTAAAGGCGGCGACTCGGGCCTGGCTGATGACGCTTGAAAATTCGCCGATCAGGGCGCAGTGCACCCCTTTGGCGCCTCGCGGGCATAACAGCGATCGTTAGAGAATGACGTGCACGTGTCTTCAACATGTTTCATCCACTGGATCACTGTATATCATTTTAATTACCGTGTTGAATTTTTATCGAACGCGAGACGAATATTTTCTTTGCTCGTCTGGTCCCTTGTTTATATTTCTTTTTTTTTTTTATCGTTTGGTATGTAAAGTAAGTTGTAAAAAAGAAATAAAAAGGCATCGAATTTATCAAAAATTTGAAAGAAACGTGATTTAAGAATGGGGCAAGGAATTTGTCAGGAATTATGATCGAGGAAATTTGAAAAAGAAGCGTTACGATTAAATAGACATTTGTCGGAAATATAGAAGGAAATATTTATAAAAATTGAAAACAAACTAATTTTTACGATCCGACTTAGGCGAGTATCGATAGAGTTTATTTAAATATAGAGAATGAAATTAAAATTTAAACAAATATATATATATATAGCAATATAAAATAATAGTCGGCAAAGAGTCGAATAAATAAATTGGAAATAAAATTTTTTTTTTATATCGTTTACTTCGTAATTAAAATCTAAATAAAATATGAAATATGAAATTTACATAAACATTCCGTTTCTACAGATTGAAATCATTTAACGAAAAAAAAAAAAAAAAAATAATACTCGTGGGCATATCATATCCATATCCGTATCCGAATATTTTTAGATACTCGTTAAATCGTGGAAATCGATCGACCTAATAATGCCATTTTCATTCGCGATTAACGCAATTTTCCTTGCAGAGGGAAGGGGAATCGTGACACGGCCATCTTCACTTTAAAAAGCGGAATTCATTACACCGGTAATTGAAAATCGCGATAAACGGGATTGAACAACTTTCCAACGAAACGCAACACAGAATCGAGAGCTTTATCCTCTATTAAAATCTTTTCGAGAATTAAACGAGTACAGCAATGATTCGATCTCGTATCAGTTTCATCTTATACCAAAATTTGTATACAAGGATTTCGTACAAGAGACAGAGTAAGATAATTCATCTTGCTCGAAAATAATTTCGAGTAATGATTCTCGTCGGGTTCATCGACCGGGTTACTTCGAACGAGTTATCTCGTATCGACTGACGCGGATCGGTTTTGAAAAGAGGAAAAAAGAAAAGAAGCCCCGTCCGTTTACGTTTAAAAATGTACATTGACTCGTTTTTAACGGAAGTTGAAAGGGTGCCATTGAAATACGATCCCATTGTGTTGTCGCGATTCGCGGATGCTCCCTAGCTCCCTAGCGGTCTCGTTTCGTTTGGAAGAAAAGGCCACCGCGAAAATATCCCTCCTTCTCTGTCCTCGTGAAGAAATGCGCTCCTTCGAAGGAGTTCACCCTCCTCTCTTTGTTCCTTCAATTTAATTTAATTCAAGGGATGATATCAAGTTTGTACGTGTATGGAATTATATCTTGCAATACAAGAAAATAATATGTTGAAGATTGCAGGAAAGTATGTAAGTATGAGCAAGTATTTTTCTATTTTTCTATTGCATTTTAGAATTTTAAATTTTCAGATATTTTATACCAATATGTGTATCCTGTCTCAGATAAGTATTTGCTAAGCAGATGCATAAATTAAGACCGTCAAGAAAGGATTTCTTGGAGTTCAAAAATTTCGTCTAAAAAATGATTCAACATCTCCAAAATATAGGCCTAATAGTTTTCGTTCAGTCAATAATTAATAAACGAGAAAACTTTGAGAGTGTGAGAAGATATATGCTTTCAATAGATCCAGATTGCTGATGAAGGGTTAATCTTGGCTGTTCGACAATGCAACACGATCCGTCGAAAAATTCCTGTAGGGTCTGACGAATTCTCCCCGTTGTTTTCGATCCGATCTAATCAGATGGTAATAGCACCTGCGAAGCAAAGAGTCCAACCACCTGGACTCGATCTACCGCGTGCGATGATTAATAATTGCTGTCTGGCGAAGATATGGAATCGCGTGCGCCTAATTCGTAGGCGGGAGTTTTTGAGTTATTGGCCTTTGTGCTCTTTGTCCATCGGAATGGGGACACTCGATCAAACGTGGTAATACAAACGGAGATCGTTCCGTTCGCCGTGCTTGAAAACGCGGGTACGGCGTGAAGTGGAAAAATGAGGCAGTTTCTCTTTACTGGTAAGCGTAATCGGGCGTGTGATTGCCAGACAATGGTCATTCTTTCGTATGAAAAATATAGATATACGGGCATATACCCGATATCGTTTCTCTTATGGAATAATCCAAAGAGATCTCTCTTTTTTTTTATTAAGATTAAATCATTACTGATAAATCGAATTTATTAGTTAAAAATTATTTAAATTGTACAGAGAGTATATACATATTTTTGCTAAGATAAAATTGTAGAGACTTTCTAGCCAATTCGAATGGAATAAATTACACACAATTATCTAATAGATATTCTATGCTTTTATTTTAAAGATGTCAAGAAAGGGGAACGCGAGGAGGACGAAAGAAAAATCGGGGACACGAGAGCAAGAAGTTGGACATTGCCGACAGGAAAATCCACTAGGCATAGGTTGGCGAATTGGGAAAACATGTCACCCCATAAGCCCAATCTTATTTCACTCGTACGTTCTGTCTCGGTCGGGAGCAGCCGCGCCTGTAAACATCCGACAGAGACAAAGGAGGAACTAAAACGTGCCGGAACGATTCCGTTTTAACGGTGAATTTATAGCGGCGCGTGATTTTCGCCCCGAGAAGATTTCCACGGCCCATCTTTCCTTTTTCTTCCCTCGAATCCGCTGTTCCGCAACCGTGAAAATACTTCTTCCCTTCGATAACGCGGAAACGAGAATCGAAACGAGATAGGCGAGTATGCGCATTATAAAGAAATAACGTAATTCTTCACCATTCTCCAAAGGGACAAATTTTCCAGTATGTAAAAGGAAAGGGTGAAAAGCAAGAGAATAAATGGAGGGACGAAACGAAAAAAATAAAAATAAAAAAAAAGAGGGATGGAACGAAGAAAAAGTGGAGGAACTTAAAGAAAACGAGATCGGGTTCCGTATCGTAAAAGGAAAGGTGGCAAGGAGAAGGAACGATGTGGAGGAGAGGACGTTTAGAAAGAAAAAGAGATAGAAAAGAGTGGCAAAAAGATAAAGAAAGGGTAAAAGAAGATTCCGCGTCGTAAAAAGAAAAGGCTTGTAAACATGAACGATGTGGAAAAGGAGATAAATCAAGAGAAAAGAGCCAAAAAAGACCAAAGCAAAAAAAAAAAAAAAAGAAAAAGGAAAAAAAGAAGAAGAAAAATAGGAAAGAGAGGAGGGAAAGAAGAAGAAG